TCTCTATATGTACCACCTTGGTTGACTATGTGAGCCCAACGTCGAAGCTGACTGATAGAAGATACCTTTTTAAATTTACTTTTCACACTCTCAAGACTTACATTTTTTCTTTTCTCACTTCGCCAATAATTCATTGCTCTTTCTTTATAATCAAAAGATAAATCTTCTCTATCTTCTTTACACTAATTTGTTGGAAATTCTACAGGAGGAGGAAAATGATACATTATATCTAGAGATATTATATCTAGTCTAGAAGTCAGAAAAACTAAGAAAAGAAATTTCCATACATGCCTAATAAAGTGGTCGAAACAGTATTTCGTAATCGTTGGAGGTACTTTTGTCTATCTTACCCGGCTAGACGCTTTGAGTCGAACAAGGAGGTTATTACGACTACAGCTGCCTATTTCGTAGACTTCGAGAAAACATATTTTTCAGACGGATTAATCAATTAGATCATCGCCGAATCAAGTATATCGAATTAGAAAGAGATTATATTGAAAAATAAATGGCTACTTTTCTAAAATTTACGTTTTTCTTTTGTAGGCTAAGTACTTATTGGACCACCCTCGTATGTTTTTTCCACGTAAGCCTTTTATCTAGGCGTATACCTAGATTATGTGATTGCTTTGATTGATTTGAACCTACCTTAAAAAAATGATGTGTAGCCGATCATTTATTATTGCGATTGATTCATACAAAAAATAGTGCCAAAATTTTAATGTCGATATTTTTATTTCTTGATAGTTTGATATTTGAAAAACTAAGATTTCTTCAGATTTCTTTATGTTAAAGTGATACTGATTAATTAACTCAAACTAATTTATTCGTCATCAAATTGGTTGATGCGAGAATTCAAATGTCATTTAGTAGAGTTTTTAATTTGCAAATTATTTTTAAAGATATAATTTCATTTTAAAGTTGTAAGATAATAGTTCATTTTTCATCAATGAATAATTGATTATCTAAATTACTAGAAAATATGATTTCAAATAATATTATGTTAAACAAAATGTGTATGTATTATGAAGCGAATAACTGGTACATTGATTCACTCACACATTGACCTAAACTCAAAATAATAATTTATCGCAATATAGCTGTCGATGCTATCACATGTACATCTTGAACATCAAGGTTACGAAAGTGATCTGTGCCTGAAAACTCATTAAAATTCTTCGCTATAAAGCTTAGCATCATATAAATATCATTAATAATGAGTACACTAGAAATCAATGGTTTATTTTCTACAATAATATGAAGTAATTTCGTTTTATTCATGTATCCATTTCTTGAAAAATTATCAAAACTGACTTTATAACATTTTTGTTTTTACAGATGAAAATTAAACAATTTTGTTGATTGATAGTAGTAGCGTTTTTTAATTTCTCCAGAGAAATGCTGTACAGACTTAGTCAAAACAATTTTAGAGTAATTTTATCAAAATACTATATCTATGGATATACAGGGTATACGTATGAATACTGAAATTTTAAAAAATTATGAATAAAACAAATAGTCATACACATGCCTAAAAGGGAAGAAAAATTGTGCACGGCTTATATAATGTAGATATAAGTACTTAAGAAGCTGCACATGTAGTAAATAGATTGTTTCTATGGATTCTATATTTCAAGTATTTAATTAACCTATCTAATTTTTTATTTACCTCAAACTTTCTATAAATAAGAAAAGAAATAAAAAATTAGCGCGCGCAGCGTGCTTGACGTAGCTAATGTACAGAAAAACTATAAATCAAATTTAACTACGCGACTACGTGATATTATGTAGTGAGTGGTAGTAAAAAAAAGAAGACGGCCGACCGCGCTTGCCGGGGCAAGCGGTATAAAGGTCAATTTATAACGCACCGTTTACAGGTAAATAATGCTTAATGTCTAGAATTTGTACATTTCTCTACTAACGAAGTGGCGAATGTCTTGTTAGTAGATGGTATACTTATAACGACATTTCATATCATTGGTGAGCAATACTTCCTCTCTGCGTTTTGTACAGGCTCGTAACTATCATATGCTGATGTACGGTAACATTGAGAGTATTAATTAATATTTTTTATTGCTGTTTTCTTGTTGTTGTATATTGATTGTTACTTTATTAAATTTTTGTTTCATTTTTAAATATGTTACTTCCAAACGTTTCTTGTTTCAAATTCACACGAGGGTGAGAGTCTTTTGCATTTAAGTTGTCTATAATTGTCGTTGGGACTAAAGCTATGAAAGAATTGAGTGTCGTTTAAAGTTTTAGCTTTTTGAGATCTACTAATTAATTTCGTTTCAATATTTTCATGGTTTCGTAGTATTTGTGCCTAACACAAATTTTATCTACTGAAGATTTTATTTACTATACTTTTATCTCTAGTGAATAAAATTTGTGTTACGCCTGATTTGCTCTGCTCATTGATATAACTTTCAAGCGTTAGTCATAATTTTTCCTTGCATACTAGCATTGTGAGTAAATCTCGTTAAGCTTTCTCCAATTCCGTTACATGCATTTTTTCCAAGACAACTAGCAAAAAAGTGCCACTTAGCCTTTATTGAACAATTATTGAAATAGTTGACTAAATTGACGAAATCGTACTTATTTTCATGTTTGCTAGCTGTTCCATTAGACATAAATGATTTATTCAAAGTTGTTATCTTTTTCTATTAAATGATCAATTAATTTTCAATCAAAATTAAAGCACTGGCCTTCTTGTCGTGTTTTAAACATTCTGAAAATATTATCAAACTTTCTTGCTTGATTTCTCCTTCTTTATTTTTATACAATGAAAATAGATGAATCGTAATCTGATTTTTAAGTGAAATACATTGCTTGTATAGCATTTTGAAATTTTATGACGCTGTTTTCAGGGAAGTTCAAATTAGCCACAATTTTTGTTGTTGTAATTTTGCTTTTGGATCTTGCTGGCTTTCCTGTTGTATTTTTGCCTTATCTAATCTTAACTTTACAATTTTATGATAAATACAAACATTTTGTAATATTGTGTCAAACCAGTGACTATTAAACACTCTTAAGAGTAAAGATGACGAAAGGTAAAGAAACAAATTTTTACACACGAGTATTTTTTGGGTTACGTTCAAATTATGGAGCAATAAATGGTTTTGTACTTTTGTATGTTCAGCTTCTTTCTCCACTATGCTAAAGTTTTTTCAGCCTAGACAATTTCTACTGATTTCGTCATGATGATAAAATCTTTTTACATTTTCAGTAATATCAATTGTTATTCTACGCCCTTTGGTACGTTACAAAGAATAAATAAAGATAAAAAGGTCCCTTTTTGATGTAATTTTCTAAAAACTAAAGCTATATAAGTGTAACCAAATTCAGACTTAATTTTGTTAATACTTATAAAAAAAAATAAAATTAGTTAGTTATTTATTTTTTCGGATTTTGCTTGAGTATTTTTAATCATTTCTTTCACTTTTTTGATCAAATTTGAATTATAAATATTTTCAGTTTCAAACTGTTCTTCTGCATAGTCATAAAAGTTTCAAGTTGTTGGATAGAGTATCAATTTATTTGTAAGTATTTGTGACCTTTGTAATTTTACTGAAGTTATACAAGTTAACTTGAACTCCGAGTACAGTTCATTTAACATACGTAATATATATTTTTTCCCAATACCTTCCGGCTGAAATCATTCAACGTTTTCTTAAAACTTTTTTATATTACTATTTTTTTCTAGATAGTTGGAAGATTTCTAATGTTCATTCTCTATTTCATCTGTATATGGAAAGCCATTTGAACCCTGTGTATCAACTTTCATTCAAACTCGTTCTTGAACTTTTTATAATGAACTCACTTATCTAAACATCCATCCTCCGAGATTTTGGAATCGTTACAATTCACAACCCAATAGTCAAAAAATTTTGCTGCTTCTCGAAGTTTTATTCGTTTAGCATTTATTTTGTAGTACGTTTTTTACAAGATAAACATAGAATTAAATGTGGATCAATTGTATCTGAAATGTTGGCAATTAACCTTCTTAAAAATTGTAAATACCATAAATATTTTCATACTGATCATATTGGCCATCGTTATTAGTATTTTTCTGTTTACGAGAACAACATCTTTTATAGTTCTACTTTTATTTCCATTTTATAGTTTTATTATAGATACTTATATATTTTTTCAGACACTATAAAGCTATTATAAAGCTAACGATTTATAAAATTTGAAGGAATATAGCTAAGAACCGTTTTCATCTAATATAAAATATTGCTAACTAATATTTTGAAATTTTATGAATGTTATGAATGTCATTAAAAATGTACTGTCTAATAACAAGACACTCTTGCCCCTTATTAGAGAAATTATAGTTATTCAGCATTATAAGTCTTTAAGAGGGGCGTCATCAACTGACTGGTGCGCTGCACTATGGGGTAAATTGATGAATTTAGTGACAAAATACAATTGCTGGCGACTGAACCAATATAGTAGGATGAATTTAACGGTATTTGAAAGGTAAAGTATGTAGGTTAGAGAAAAATTATTTCAATTTATCAATTTTGACTGTTTTTTTTTAATTCAAGGTCAAATTTGTCTATTTAAAAAAAAAACATTATTGTCGGAATTTAACGTAGAAAACCCTGATTTTTTAAAACTGAATAAAACATTGTATAGGCTTTCGAAAAATACAAATAAATACGTTTATCTAAAATTTTTTCCGACCTTTTGTCGAATAAACTGCTTCAAAGTATTCATCCGAACTCAACGATTTTTTATTACTTGTATGGTAGGTCTGAGTACACGTACATTGATGCATACATATAAATTTAGTGTATACATATTTTCAATAAATTATATTTGAGATTTGTACAAGTAAGATCATTCGAAACACCAATCGTATATACAGTAAAAATTTTTAGGAATAAAAAATACCAATGTTGATCATCCTTAATATGGTGTTTTACCTATTACCACAAAAAATAATAAATTAAGTTATTCTTTACAATAAATTAAGCTAATTCATTTGAATTTTCTAGATGATGATGATAGAGTTGGACTTAAAAGAAATGGTATTCTAAGAAGTGAAGAACAAAATCTATCGCAAATAATGAACAAGGATAATGCAAAATCAAGAAGTATTCAAGAAATATCTTCCATGACTTCTCTGTCAACGTTTAATCTAACAACTACCCCGTCGCAAAATCAAACAAATTCATCAACATTAATTCAAACATCAGCTTGTCAACCCTTACAAAAACAAGTATTAAATGCGTTTGAAGCTGGGTTGAGCATAGGTATACAAACTAGATTAAGCGATGACAATAAACGAACACAATTGGTTTTGCAGTCTAATCAAATCGGTAAGTAAAATTTTATAATTATAAAGACAAGTTTATTGATATAATTATAAGTATTTATGTATTTTTGCTGTAGTAGAAAAGGAAAACTGCTAGCCAACCTTATAGCCGATGCCAATGGGAGCGTCAAGCTCTCATTCACCAAAACCATCTTCATTGTTAACTAATATCCTCACAGAAATTACTGTCAGGCGTTACTTTATGGATCTAGTTTTGGTTCAATGGGTTTCTCTTGTTAATACTTAGTTGATCGGTTCTTTTCGTGCGTTTCTCTCTTTCGAACGGTATTTATTTTCAAGATAATGTATTCTATTTACCAAGTTACAATGACGTCTATTGCACAATCTACGATGTAGGCTATTTCTTTGATAGTCTTAGACACTACAATAAACGCGATATGTTCCACGAATGCCACTATACCCTTCTAGAAGTCTCAGCCGTCGTAGGCTATCTTCGATCAGCTGTTCTTACCTTCTTATAGAGTTCAATCTTTTGACGATCAAATCCGCGAGGGTAGCTACCATATTCTATCCTTGCTGTGAGGTGAAGAAGTATCATTTCACTCTTCTTCCGATATCAGTGTCCTGCCATATGTCTTAAAATCATGCGCATTTATTTTCAAAACGGGATCAGTAAAAGATTATATTTTTCACGTTCTGATGCCTTCTTGAGCATGTTAAGGTACTCCGCATTCAAAATAACCCATATAAGGTGTAGGTATTTATGAAACCAACTATGCTTGATTAACACTTGCGTCAATTAAAAGGTACAGAGTCAGTAATTTCTGCTTATCCACTCTACAATATCTTGTATGACACAATATGTCGCACGGATTCTCATTGACTATTGTCATTCGTTGTATTCTACCGCTTATTGTCTTTTACTAGCAAGTTTATGAGGATGGGGAAGAGGGTTGACCGCGTTATTACCGACAGTGCAATTTTTAACACTGTAACTAAATTGGCTTAATAGTATGTATGCAAAATCGATGGCTCCGGATATTATCTTAATATTATTATTGTAAATGGTATTCCTCAAAAACTACAAGTGAACTTATCCATCAGTTGAAATGGTTAGTAAAGTCAGGTGAGGACACTTTTTAATTACATAAGAAATATCCTTATTATGTCCAATTTTAACTTGGAATAGTTACGTTAAATGTGAAATGAACTTATTTTATTATATACGCATATTATATACGTATATAATACTTTGCAACGATCGCCGAAAATCGTTAGGCCTCGCGTGGACTGTCAAGCATGGCTAAGGGTAATAGCCGTGATCGGCTTAGGTTAGAGAGAGAGAGAGAGAGAGGGCGCGTTAGGGACAACGACCGGGAGGGGAGAGCTAGCGAGTCAGTATGACTGTGTTCTTCAGTCTGGCGACATCGTAGTTTTTTCCTTCGAAGCAACAACGTGTAAAGCCGTACCGAGTGACATACGGAGAGATTAGTTAGATAATCAGTGCTGTGAGTGGAGAGGCGAGTGCGCACACTGCGTGACGTGTGCAGCATCGGCAGCAGCAACCACAACCTCAGTAACATCCACTGCGCAGCATAACATCAGCAACAAAAGGCAGTTGCAGAGGCAGCTCGTTTCTCGCGTAAGCGGATACTGTTGGCCACCGTATCCTCATCAGATCAGCGGTAAGTGCGCTGCACTTTCAAATTCGTTTTGCGTGCGATCCCGCGCAGCGTGCGCGGTGAGTTTTGTAGGTAGCGTGCGTGCGACTAGTCTGCGACGGCCGCGAAATCAACTCTCTCTCTCCCCATTCGATGTATTTCGTTGATACAGCGTGCGTTCCGACTCTCGGCAAATCGTCCTTTGTATAGGATTTATCTCGTCCAATAAAGTGGTTAAATATTAATAAGAGACGACCTTATTATTTCGTCTCACCTTGTCCGGTGTCGGTGTTTATGTTTACATTTTGATTCGAACGCGCCGGTAGTCCAACACAGATCACGAATACTATAGAAGGAGCTGTTCGTCAACCGAGTTGTCTGCAGTGGTCGACGGAGCGCTGGTAAGCAAGCGCATCAGCGCCTCTTGCGGAGAGTTCGCACATCAAAGTTAGATCGCTGAGAGGACTCGGCGCATGCGTACACCGGAGCAAGGTGAGTTAGTGTGCTCGAAGCACACAGCTAACAAAGCACCGTTTGGCCGTAGCGATAATTACATTTGCCAGGGATTTGCGACTAAGCGGTAGCCTGTTACAACTTTTTATAATAGAATGAATTATGAATTCCATATAAAAGAGGTTGTAGAAAATTTGATACATATGTGGACTGTGCTTGATTTCTTAGTTTTAACTTGACTGACGATAAGAAACTTTCTCTAACCTTAAATAATTTGACTATGTGATAAATGAGGTATATATATGGGCAAATCCCAGAAACTTTTGATTTTTGTGTTACTCGCTTCTACAGCTGTGTAGATATGTGTTTGGCCAAGTTGTGATGGCTTAAATTGTAAGGTCTGCAACGTATGTACCAGGAAAAAGATTATTATCAGTTCAATGTTATTTTCGTATGCTATTCTGAAGGTCAAAAGTCAAAAAGTCGGAATATTGATGAATTTTGCATGTTACTTTGCAAAAAAAAAAATTTCTAACTGCTGTAAAATGTGGAACATTGTTTCAATTCTTATAAAACTTTGTGATGTTCGTATCACTTATAAATAATAATAATTCGAACTCTCGTATCTAGCTAATGAGTAAGAATTTGTTTCCAATAATTTTACTCTACTTATTAATAAAATAAATAAATAAATCAAATGTACTCTAATAATAATAAATAAATCAAATATATATAAATATGTACAATGTTTCAAGAAAAGTCAGACAATGCCCTAGTTTCTTATGATGCGAATTGTCCCATAAGCAGAGCTAAAGTTTTTCTTGGATAGGATATAATTCGGCCCAAGTTTCTTATACCGCGAGATGTTCTAAAAGTCGAGCTCGAATAAGGAAGGAACAGTCTTGCTCAGTTAATTACAATGAGAGAAAGAACTTAGGTATTAGCCAAGTTTATTCAGACTCATGCGCTCACCTTGCAAGGCTAGAAGTGAATGCTAGCCTGTGCAAAGGTGGGCCTATTTATACACAGATTTTCCCGCTTATTTTTGCAGGAGAGATGTCATCGAACATTCAAGATACATTCTCGAATTTTGAGTAATAAGTGTTCTTAATTTACAAGTAAATAATCATTAATATTAAGCTTTTAACATATGTAAACTTTACACAATTTGTTATTTGTTGATTTTATATAATATACAATTATCGCAAATAGTGTCGTCAAAAGTTATTAACTAATAAAGTTAATTAACATGATATTACAATATTTACAATAGAAAATTCATAAATTTTTATATAACTTTATAGTTGATTCAATTTAGAGGTATTTTCCAAAAATAAATATTTAAATTAGTTAATAACATTTGAATTATAACTAATTTTTCATATTTGTAACGGTTTTTCCTAATTTTATAATGCAATTATTAGATTATTTATCTAAGATTCCTAAATTATAAAGCTATCATTATCAAGTATAAAATTAATACTTTCGTTCTATATACAGCTTATTGTTTAAATAAATTATTAATTGTTTATTTACTAATAACAGCTGAATAATAATTCAACTGTTATTAATGAAACCAATTCTTACTCATGTTCTATACTTATTCATTTTGCATATTTACATTTTTCTAATAAATCATATTGTTAGCGTAATAAATAAATCAATTTTGCATATTAAAATTCATTATTATTTCATAATTAAATGCAATTTATGTTATTATATTCTGAATCTACGTACTTAAATTTATATAATAAATACTTTGTTATATTAAAATTATCTCTAATTAACATATTTTTCTTAATATCCAAAATCATTATATCTATATCTATTACTTTGTGACGTCACGCTATCTATTTTGATTCGACTCTTATTTGTATACAATCGAGTAAACAGTGAGGTAGCGCCGCTTGATGTATTGATTTGAATAAACAGATAGATACGTTAGACTAGTTGCAGTAATTCAGTGATTTAATAAATAGCTCATAAATAGGACCGTTACAACCTTCAGGAGTTGTTCTATTTACGATGCCCTTGAAGAAACATCTTCAGTTTTTCACGTGCCCATAATAAAAAACAAATGCGAGTCGTGACATGTTTTGTTACTAGTTTTTTGGTAAATTTGATTATTGTCGATTTTCGCTTATATAGGTTGGAGCATTCAATGAATCACAGTATAACCAATTTCTATGTTTAATTGGCGCTAAAGCGAAGCTATTTATGAACTAACAAAGTATGTGCTCGCTAAAACGAGCTTTTAAATTGATGTCAGAGACCGAAATATCTCACGAAACTTTTTTCCAGTTCAAGTAGCACAAAAATAATAATACATTAAAACCGTCAATAATCACTGTGCTCTATTTAATATCACCAATGGAAATTCATAACAAAATGCTAGCTTGATTAAACTTTTTATTGAAAGGATAGAGCTATTATAAATTTTAATGTAAAAAATCATAAGTATCAAATATTTATTTTAACGATTTGAACATTGTAGATTAATTTTACACGTTTTAAATGTCTATATTTTATGTTCTGTAATGAAAAGTAAATATAAATAATCAAATTAATAAATTATACATGAATTAATCAAAATTTCATTTTTGTAGTGTTGAAAATATTATGTTCACGTCGATGACAAGACTATTCTATTTAAAAGTTTAGTAGATTCGAATTTGTGAATATAGTCTGTTTATCAATACAAATACGAATCTGATTTCATGCGCTAAATATTTGTCTATTAGTTAGAAGTGAGGGGAGTAAGAAATCAAAGTTGTTGATTATAATCAGTTTTCAGTGTCAGTTTTCAGTTTTCAGTGTAGAGCGTTCGGCTCCTAGAACTCATGCAATGTTTTTGGAGTTCGTGCACAACACTTAGAAGAAGTAGTAAGTTTCATTCCAAAACTAATTTTTCAATACATATAGAAAGTTC